CCCAAAACCCCACCCTTTAAAAAAAAAAAAGTAGCTGTCTCTGAGCTCAAGATTTGTGAATTTCATCCTTCCTTTTCTCTTTTGAACACTGACACCTCTAATGGTGCTCCACTGTCCCCTTTAGTGGCCGGCCTGTTATGCAAAATCATTCTGGTCTGGCAGCTCAAGAGACAAGAGTTTTGTGGAGGATTGTTTAATACTGTTTTAAACAATGCTAACAAAGAACTTGACATGCAGCATGGCATTATGAGTCTTATGGCTGTGAAGTTAGGATGGGAAATGCAAGAATTAGAGGTGATCAAGCAGCCTCAATTTACCCCCTTTGTGTTTATGCATAAGGATGCTGTCTTTAATTATATCATCATCCACATTTATTTTTCCCCCAGGACACTTTCACTGTTCTATCAGCAGGCTGGACTATGTTAGGGGGAGTGAATTGGTATTAGATAGCAAATGAGACCTTTTTTTTTTTTTGGTAGGACCTCTGCTTTCCTTTTCCAGAAGTATTACAATGAGGGGAGAAAAAGAAAAGCCTGTACTTTCCAAAGTATTCTGTCCCAGTTTTTTTGTCAGAAAGTTTTTGTTTGTGTACTTTGTCCTGTACCATCTCTTTGTAAGTGGTCATTAACTTCATCTTCCTCATTTCATGGTTGCTCAAACGGCAGTCATATTTACGTAAGTGAGCACTTGCAACCAAAACAGTCAGTGGGAACTGTGGTCTGAAAAAATGAAATGTGAAGTTATCTTGAGAAATGAGATTTCTGGCATCTTTGAACACCAGGACTACCAAAAATGGTGAAGGTTTTGAACCCCCAGAGATGTGTGTGTGAGTTCCAGCAGGAGGGTTGTTCAATGCATGAGAGAGTGTAGGTGTCCTCGGGCACCCTGACTGCTGGAAGGAGTAAATAAACAGGGGCATATAAGGTCCAACTGTAGACTATGAAACTGTTTTAAAGTATGTGGGTGCTGTTGGATATTCTCTATTATGTTCATTGCCATTGTTGGAACAGTTTGCATGTGTTCAGTCTGGACCATGTGTTGATCAGTAAAGGTGAAACAGAAAACTCATATCATCTCGGTGACCATTCTGTACAGAGAATAAAGGGCTAGGATAAAATGTAGTCATGTATTTAAATGCTGAATTACCAGGCATGTGTACAAGGGGAGCAAATTGTGCCTGCAATGGCAACTTAATTCTGGTACTTCTCAAATTTTGAGTACTACATTATTCTATGATAATGATATTCTGATACAGCTTGATGAATGTAGTGAGCAGCACGTACCAAAATGATAAAATTTACAGGTGTTGTACAAGCTTTTATAGTTGAAATACTAACATTAGCAAACATTCCTTTGCTAAGTAATGGAAGGCAATTTGATAATGTAGTAGTATTGCTAAGCTCATTCAGATTGTGCAGTTACCTTCTAGTCCTGCTTTTTTTTTAAGGATCGTGTTCAAAAAAGTTTTCCCCATCCTATTGATAAGTGGGCAATAGCTGATGCCCAGTCTGCTATTGAGAAGAGGAAACGAAGAAATCCCTTATCTCTCCCAGTAGAAAAAATCCATCCTTTATTAAAGGTAAGCAGTGACTTAATCTTGCTTTTAGGATCAGTTAGAAGTTAATACCTTCGTTTCATGTAATGTCTGTATGCTGCCTGAAATGTAAACAAAAAGGAATAAGAATATCACAAAGCCAAGAACTCATTTGCTATGAATTTGATTGTTCTTGTTCCATTTTGCATGACTAAGAAAACACTCAAGAAATTTCTGGAAATAGCCCTAAATGTTTAAGTGAGGTTTTTGGGACAGTTGTTTGGCTGTTGTCACTTCCACAGTTGACAGAGCAGCATCTGCAATGACACTGTTTCTTGTCTAGGGCTATAGACTGCTGTGTTTCTATTACTAAAATAGACTGTGGATATGTGGTGAATGTTTATTGAGTAGGGGCTTAAGGTTATTGGTTTTAGTTGTAACCCGCGCTGTGTATTTTATCAGCTGATAACAGTGGAATGCTTATTTCTTTTCTTTCAGGAAGTTCTAGGCTACAAAATTGACCACCAAGTGTCTGTTTACATAGTGGCAGTATTAGAATACATTTCTGCAGACATCTTAAAATTGGTTGGGAATTATGTGCGGAATATAAGACATTATGAGATTACAAAACAAGATATTAAAGTGGCAATGTGTGCTGATAAGGTAAGCCTAACTCTTGTTCCTCATTTTACGAGCAAATTTTAGTTAAGCTTTGAGAGGACAATGTCTGTTCCTTATTGAGTACATGGAATGTTGTACCTTTGAAAGAAGAAATTACTGCCATAGAATACAGTTCCAGTAATAGAGCAAAGCTACCAAAAAGCTGATTGAGCTTCCAGAGCTGTTGCTTGTACTTATTAATAGTTAAGTCTCTCTTCCTTTTGATATCACTTGCCTAATCTCAGCAATGTGTGAATGCTTTAACAATTTTTGTGAAGCAGCACTAACTTAAAAATTTAACATCCCTAAGCTATAATGGCGGAGCCTTATTTTGTAGCTTGAAAAAAAAAAAAAAAGGCTGAAATTAAGCTTGGGTGTTCTCCCAAAATAAATAAGACTTTATTGCATGTAAAAAGTAGTGTTTGATGGTCTAGCATTTTCAAACAAAAAACCCACCTGCATTAGCATCTCAGCCTAATCCTCCTTAGTGGTCCATAGTTTTTAGCTGCAGTTAGTCTTTCTTGTAGCTTCAGAAGGTTCATTAGGTTCAGACAGGAATCAAGCTTTCTTTTCCAGCAGTGATAGAGCAAAGTCCCCTGTCTGTCTTTCAGGTGCCTTTGCACTCCAGCTTCTGTGGCCACCTGATTAGCATCTCAAGTTTTCCATTGTTTAAAAAACAAAGCTTGAAGTTAATCCTTTAAGGGATGTGGCTTGAGAATCTCTAATCTTGCTGAAGTCCAGGGATTTTCAGATTTATCACCTCTTTTCAGTATTTTGTCTTGGTCTATGTTAATATATTCAGCTGGGATCGTCTCTGTGTTTTGTGTTTCAACGAATGCCTTTGTCTCATTCCTGTGTGCTTTTTTTTTTAATCCTACCTACTTCACCTTTCTTTATTCTCTCGTAAGATATCTTGTGAGGTCTTGAAGAGTCAAGTACTTCTCAGTCATGACTGTAGTCTTGGTCACTCTTGCTTTTGGGCACATCCGCCTGGGTCATTAGGGCAGGGTTTGAAGCTGTATGTTTGAATATTTGTCATAGAATAATAACAGGAACAACTGCTATTGGTGCATGCTTCTTTCTATCCTAGGAAAGGTGTTGAGTAGAAGAGCTGTGATGAAGTTGATTTAAGAACTTACATTACATTGGAGGAACTCTTTGATATGTATTCTGATATATGAACTCTATGATACGCAGAAGAAACTTTTGAAAGGCTCTAAAGCAGGCCTGTTGATTTACTGCCTCAGCAGAACAAGCCATTGAAAGGTGGTCCCAAGGTGTTTTCTTCCCAGTTGCATTGCGAAACTTCACAGAATATTATGTTCATACCCATAACATGTTCTGCTTGTTTTTATTTTTTGAAATAAAACATCCAGAACAGTTTCTTGGCCCTGTGTGCCATTTTTTTCTCAAGCACTTTCACACTTGCTTTGGTGCCACCCATCCATCTGGAAAATTTTGCCTTGTCTGCAAAAACCAAACTCTATTAATACAAGCTGTTTTTCTTCTACTGTCTACTTGTGCTTCTGATTGCTCTAAATTCAATATAGGGGGTATAGTTACTTTAATTTGTTTCTGTGGATTTCATAGTAGTGAGATATGCACCTTGTGAATACAGCCTGTAGTCTTCTAGCTCAAGTATGTGCTAGAACTGTGTCTGTGAAGTAAAGTTGGAAATGTTGGGGGCTCCTTGAATACCTGCATTATTCCATGTAATTTCCTACAGTAGTGACCCTGTAATGTCCCATTCCCCAGAAGTAGTTAGGATTCTCCTTATAATCTGAGTTCTGTGTACATTCGCTGGCTTTGAAAGATGAATCGCCTTCTGTTCTTAGAACTTCAGAAGTCAGTCTTAATGCAAAATGTCCATTGTTCTGCTTTCAGAGAAGCTTAAGACCAGGGTGTGTAGCAGGGACCTTTGACTCACTAGGAGAAAGAACCTGTTGTGTGCCCATTTCCCTCCTCACTAGACCTGTATATTTTTGAGGAATGTTAGGACAAGACCTGGATGAAGAATGACTGCTCTAGGTAGGTGTGTTTCTTCCAATATTCAAGTCTGAACCTACCAGACCATCTCTTGAACTTACAGATCCCCCATTAGTGTCTTGCAGAATAGTTCATTTGTCTAATATCAGTAGTCAGCAGTTTGGTTAACTGACGTATTCTGGAGAAGTGCCTGTAACATGCTTTAAAGAAAGAAGACTTTTACTGCAAATACCAGGGTAAATGTCATGTTTGTTGTGGCTCGTTCAGAAGTTTATTTCTTGATTTCCAGTTTTAGAATTATTTTGAAAAACACTTTCCCGTTCTGTTTTCTGCCATTTTAAAAACTCTAGTTCATATTTGTGTTAGCCTTCCCTCCTGTGGCTCTCAGAGGAGTATTTACAGCTTTGATCTTGCAGTCTTTTCCTCAGTCTTTTCAGTAATTGACAGCAGTCATGTCAGTCTCTGCAGTAACAGGCATAGGTTGCCATGGCTTCACCTCCATCTGTTCGGAAGGGAGGCTGGCAAATGGTGCTTAAGTTCTCATTTATTTTGAAGTTCACATGTATTGTTTGACACACTTCATGACTTCCTGGAAGGGGTGTAGCTCTGGGCAGCAGATTTGTTTATAAATGCTGTCCCATCTGTCTATCCCATGACAAAGTCATCTTGTATGTTGAACTACATTGTATGCTGGCTTGTTGTAAAGATTTGCTACATCCCTGTAGATTGTGGACCCTCTTTAGGTTTTCTTTCTGCTAAAGATACTTCAGATTAGGATGCCTTTTACTAATTTGTGGTCAACTTACATAGTTTACCTTTTAAGATGTTCTTTGAGTATCACAGAAAGAACCCAAAGTGTGATTTCTGTTTGCCACTTGCTAAGTCATTGTAATGACTCCTGGCTCAGATACCATGTTTGGAAGAACTGTTCAGTGATCCACTTTTCTTGACATCTGAATTTGTAATTGCTTGTGTTTGGTAAGCCTTGCTTGGGTATGAATTGGGACCTCTGGTAGTCAAAAGTTTTTAGACGTCCTTTTGTCTATGTGGTTCTGCAATATGACAGCCACTTTTTCTGAAGCTGGTGTCCTTCCTCAACAGTCCATTTTAACAAGAGAACTCAGGAGTTAAGGATAGAAATCAGGCCATGCACAGTGTATGGGCAGGCTGGTATTCATCGCAGACAGGTTACAGGTTTCTGCGCGCGATCACATATGACTTCCTGTTAAAGCTAAAGCTGAAAAGCCAAAATGCACACACTTTTTGACTCAAGATAGTACAGTATCTTCAGAAATTTAGATTGTGCTCAGCTAATTCGGAGTAATAGAATACAGCTAAGTGTGTTTCTACTTCATAGACTTCTTAAAATTGTAATTGAGTTTAGACTACATTTTTGGAGAGATGTCAGTGGTCTAAATGACTGGGAATTCTTCAGAAATTGCCAATGCAAATAATGACTTACAAATTCATAGCAATTACTATTGCTTTTGTAATGCTTGACCAATTGCAGAATGATAATACATAAATCTTGATGCTGATCAGTCTTATTTCATGGGAATAATAGATTTTCTTTACTGGTGACTTACTGGTAGATCTTGAAAAGAAATTGTTCTCACTTTGCGGATTTCCCCCTCTTTGCTATCTAGGTATTAATGGATATGTTCCATCAAGATGTAGAAGATTTAAGTGCACTAACTTTATCTGATGAGGAGCCCTCCACCTCAGGGGAGCAAACCTATTATGACTTAGTGAAGTCATTTATGGCAGAAGTTCGACAATATATAAGGGAACTAAATCTCATTATCAGAGTTTTTAGAGAGCCATACGCCTCCAACTCCAAACTATTTTCATCTCATGTAAGTATTGTACAAACCACAAATGAAAAAAAAAACCCAAAACCCAAAAAACAACACCTTACTATAATATCTATAAATCTAGATGAACACTTCTAGAACTTAACTATTGTCCAGTTTAACATATCAATAGTAGAGGAAGCACTGGTCTTGAGTTCTGAAATGGAAGTACTAAAGGAGCACTTGTGGGGAAGCACTGGTTTTGTAGAGCTGTGGAAGAAACCACCCAATTTACTATACTTACTTGCAGGCCTGTAATTTAAGATTTGTCACTGTTGTTCTTTGCCATGTTTGAATCGTAAATTTTTATCTATTTGTATAAATATATATAGTCATTATTTTAAAAATAAATTTTATGATCTTGCATAAATTATACAGAAAGTATATAATAAAATACATTATAAAATCTTGTTCTGTTAAAGGAAGTGCTTGACTCATAACAGAGTAGCTTTGCACATAACTTTCTTGTCCTGGTTTCGGCTGGGGTAGAGTTAATTTTCTTTCTATCCGGCAGGCATAGTGCTGTGTTTTGGATTTAGTAGGAGAAGAATGTTGATAACATGCTGATGTTTTTAGTTGTTGCTGAGTACTGCTTATGCTAGTCAAGGACTTTTCAGCTTCCCATGCTCTGCCAGATGCACAAGAAACTGGGAGGGGGCACAGCCAGAATAGTTGATCCAAACTGCCCAAAGGGCTATTCCATACCATATGATGTCATGCTCAGTATATAAACTGGGGGGGGTTGGCTGGGGAGCAGCAATCGCTGCTCGGGAACCCTCTGGATATCGGTCAGCGGGTGGTGAGCAATTGCATTGTGCATCACTTGCTTTGTATATCATTATTATTATTACCATTATTATACTGTTACTATTAGCATTACTATTTTACTTTATTTTAATTATTAAACTGTTCTTATCTCAACCCAGGAGTTTTTCTCACTCTTACTCCTCCAATTCTCTCCCCCATCCCATTGGGGTAGGGGGAGTGAGCGAGCGGCTGCGTGGTGCTTAGTTGCTGGCTGGGGCTAAACCACGACATTTCTTCTTAGAAATTGTGTCCTATTCCCTGTTGATTTTTGCCTGGTTCTGTTGCTTTTTGCAGGATGTGGAAAATATATTTAGTCGCATATCAGACATTCATGAACTTAGTGTGAAGTTGTTGGGTCATATAGAAGACACTGTTGAAATGACAGATGAAGGTAGTCCTCATCCGCTAGTAGGCAGCTGTTTTGAAGACATGGCAGAGGTAAGAAAATACTTGGGGTTTTTTTTGCTATTCATATGTATTTTAATGACTTGCACTTAGATGATAAGTGCATCTCCATGCTAGCTGACTTTGTTTAGGTTGAGATCTCTTCTTCCAGCTGCACCATGATGACCAGACTGCCCATTTTTGAGAATGCTTTTACCTTTTTAGTCTCTAAACCTCAGTTTTTATAGGGCTGTTTAAACTTTAGAGAGCATGGGGGGAGGGTGGGACACCTGTGACTAGACTTCAGCAGAAATGGAGGTATCCTGTAAAGAGGTTGTAGATCAGTACTGTTGTGGCAAGAAGTGGAACAAGGGCTTCTTTTCCAACAGGCTTGCTGTCCTGGTTTCGGACACTTGCTAAGCTGGCGAGAAAGGCTTTTGAACTAGACTTGTAGTGGATGGAGACCAAAGCTTGCAGATTGAAGAATTAAGAGAAGGGGATGTGCGTAACAAAGCATGACAGCAAAGGCTCTTGCACCTTCCTCCTGAGAAGGTGGGATGACCAAAGGCTCATCTGAAGTGTCTTGTTTCCCCAGGGTGCATGTGCTCATGTGCAGATAGGAGGATCTGGGAGTCTGTGCACAGTTGCAGAGCTGTCATGTGACTGGAATTAGCAATATGGCAGGAAGGGTTGCATGATGGAGGGCTGTATAAATGTAGGGACTCAAGAAGGATAGATGGGGAAGATGAGGCCAGGAGGCTTAACAAAAGATCAGCTCAAATATATGGAGCTCTGTTACGGAATGAATGATGAGCTGGTTGAATGATTCAGGATCAGAGGAGGCCACCAAAGGGCATGCAAGCTTCTCCTGCAAAGACTGCACAATTGACAAGTGGCCAGAACCTTCTCTAAACAAGTAGAAGTTGTCATCTTATCACAGGCCCTGGTTCTCTTGGGAGAATAACCTTCCTGACATCTGCTGGGTGGGCAACTTACTGTGGTTCAAGTAATCCAGAAGATTTCTAGAGGGCACTGGGGACAGGATTTTTTGTGGCACGTGCTGATGGGCAAACTAAGAAAGTTGCTGCACTTGACATCTTTCTCATGAACAAGGAAGAACTGGCAGGAACATTGTAGCTAATGGCAGGCTTGGCCACAGGTGGTAGAGATGGTAGAGTTTAAGGTCCTGAGGGAAGTGCAGGAGATAAGCAGACTGAAGACCCTGGGCTTTGGGAGAGCAGACTTTGCTTGTTCAGGGAATTGGGAGGCAGGATCACCTTGGTGGCTGCCTTGAGGGTAGAAAGGGCTCAGGAGAGCTGGTTTATTTTCAAAGGCAATGTGTTTAAAGCACAAGGAGTATGCATTCCCAGACCCTAAGAAAAAGGGTAGGTGTAGCAGGAGGCAAGGACAGGTGCAGTTTGGCTTGTTTAACCAAACTTGGGCCCCTCACTTCAAGACAGAGAAAGTGCTGGAGCGTGTCCAAAGAAGAGCAGTGAAACTAGTGAAGGGTCTAGAGAACAAGTCCTGTGAGGAGTGGCTGAGGAAACTGGTGTTTAGTCTGGAGAAAAGGAGGCTGAGGGGAGACCTTATTGCTCTCTACAACTACCTAAAAGGAGGCTATAACGAGGTGGGTGTTGGTCTCTTCTCCCAAGTAACAAGTGATAGGATGAGAGGAAGTGGCCTCAAGTTGTGCTAGGGCAGCTTTAGATTGGATATTGGAAAAAATTTCTTCACCAGCAGGGTTATCAAGCACTGGAACAGGCCGCCCAGGGAAGCGGTTTAGTCGCCATCCCTGGAGGTGTTTAAAAGATGTGTGGACATGATGCTTAGGGACATGGTTTAGTGGTGGACTTGCTAGTGTTAGGTTTATGGTTGGACTCGATGAAGGGTCTTTCCAACCTAAATGATTCTATCATTCAAAAGAAACATAGGCTTCCCAGGAGGAAGGGCTGCAGCTAAGCTGGAGTTAAACTTGGTGAGGAATGTGAAGCAAAGTAAGAAAGGCTTGTATAGGTAAAATAGCATGAAAAAGATGATCATAGAAAATGTATCTCGCTCATGGGGTGAGAGACCCTATGCTGGAGGATGTGGAATGGACGGAGGTACTCAAGTCTCCTTTGCTTGGTCTTTACTGGAAAGATGTGCTTCTAGGTTTCCCCGTTAGGCCTGCTACCAAAGGTTGAGGGAGAGAGGTGAAAGTCAAAGATCAAGTTAGGGACTATTGATCTAAGGTGGATATATGCAACTCTATGGGTCAGGACGGGATGTTGAGGCAGCTGGCTAATGTTATTGCAAGGCCACTGTCTAGAATTCTTGAAATTCAGTGGTGAGTTGTTAGCAAATCTTTCTGGAATTCACATCCAGCCATGTGAAAGACTAGAAGGTGATCTGCAACAGCCAGCACAGAATTCTGAAGGACAAACTGTACCTGACCAACCTGACTGCTTCCTAAGAGGACATGGCTGGCTCCATGGACAAAGGGAAGAACAGTTAATATCCTTTATCTGAACTTCAGCAAGGCCTTCAGCACAGTTTCTCATAGTATCACTATAGTCAGCTTGATGAGATGTAGACTAGCTAGTTGAATTATAGAGCGGGTGGGAAATTGGCTGGAATGGCAGGCTTGAAGGACTGTCATCAGGAATACAAAGTCCATCTGGTGGCCAATGGTTAGTGGCATTCCTCAGGGTTTGATACTGGGGCTGGTACTGTTTAACGTCTGTATTAGTGTTGTGGGAGAAGGTCTGCTTCATCAAGTTGGTAGATGATGCCAA